ATTCTATAATATGTATATAACAAATTATCAATTTTTGAGAATTGTATCAGAAAATATAATAATTTACAAATTCATTATCATTTCTATCAATAACTATTAAGTGCTAATTACATCTACAATATTTACTTTTGAAATTTTCCTAAATACACATTTTATTTCAAATCTAATTTCTTAACTTTGAAACTATATAACATAACACCAACCAAAAACATCACTAACAAAAATAATGGTTTCTATATTATTAACCATTATTAATGTACGTAATACATGTATACTAAAAATAAAACTTAATGGTAACAAAAATATAATACATTTAAATAAACATCTCATATAAAAATTCATTTTTATAAGAAATCAAAATTAAAGATAAAAAAGAATATAATAGGATGATTTTGACGAGATAAAAGTTTGGTAAAAATAATATTTAATCTATATTCATAAACATATAGCTAAAATATATCAAGATTTTTGGATTGTATGTAATATTATACAAATAATTTACATACATCAACTAATTTGCTAATTTTTTTTTAAATTTCTTACATAAATTCTTATTTTCTAATAATAACTAACAATAATTTATATTTTATATTTTTTTATATAATCAAATTATTAATATTTATTTTTCTTGCAGGGAGGCCGAGTAAGCTTGATGAAGCTGATATATATCGTTAGATTTTTACTACGAATTATGAAATTTGATAGTTATCATTACATTTTCTCTATGGGTCTAAAATTGTGAAAACACAAAGGGTTATGCTTACAATCGTGGCGAAGAGTTTTGAATCAGGAATTTGGATATGGTTTCGGCTAGAATCACGAGGGTTGTGATTGAGTTAGTAGAGTCTACTTAGAGGAATTTGAGGAATGGATTTAGTTGAGAGTGTTGTAGATGTGAAGGTCACGGTGGAGACGATAGTTTTAGGAATTTTGAATGAGAGGTTGAGGTTGGTTTATGGAGAAGAGAAAGATGGAGAGAAGGATTAACGGGATGGAGTATTAAATTGAATCGGGATTGATGATATAACACACTTATTTTAAATCAAATATTACAACTTTTTACAGTTAACTTTATAAAACCGGTGGCAGCATTTAATCGGAGTAGCATTTAACTCAATGAATCCATGGTGACGGAGAAGATCGGTGGCAGCGATCTGAATACGTGTTTGTAAATTTCAAAAAAAATTAATTTAATTGTAATATATCATTATCTTTATGTTTTTTTCATCAAATATATCACTTTATTAAAAAAATATATAAAGTATAGTTTGTAATTGAACGATATTGACGAGATGAATGTAATGAGATGATATTGACAAGATGAAATTTTGATTAAAAAAATACATAACTCTATTTATAAACCTAATTAAAATGTATATGTATTTATGGACTGTATGGATATATTATACAAAATAAAAATATAGTAAATCTCATCAAAATTCGAGATCAGAAATAGAGTGTAATAGGATGAATTTGACGAGATAATTTTTTTCATTAAAAATAATTATGTTCATTAACATAACTAACTCAAATATAGCAGGATTTTTGGGTTGAATCAATAATATATAAATAAAAACAAATTAAAAATAATAACCCGTCTTCATGTTAAGTTAAAATTTAGTAATGTATGTAATACATATAAACCAAAAATAAAACTTAATGGTTTCTATTATTATTAACAGAAATATAATACATCTATAGCAAAATAAACATCTTATACAAATATCTATTTCTATAGGAAATCAAATTTTGAGATCAGAAGTAGAATGTAATTGAACGATTTTGACAAGATAAAATTTTGGTAAAAAAAATACTTAATCTCTATTCATAAACCTGTAACTAATATATATCAGGATTTTCGGGCTGCATAGATGCATTATACAAATTATTTACATCCATCAACTATATTTGTTGAATTTTGTAAATTTCTTACATAACTTCTTATTTTCTAACATCAACTAACAATAATTTGAATTTCATATTTTGTTTTATATAATCAAATGATCAATATTTGTTATTCTTACAAATTATAAATATATCCAATTTTAAATTAAATTCTCAACTATAACAAAATATAATTGACAAATGATACAATAATTATAAATACAAAACTACTAGCTTAAAACAAATATCACATACAAACGAAACCAAAATACTATTCACAAATAATGCAACGTTCTCATTCCAACAAACAATTAAACCATACAACAAACATAGTCAACCAATATCTATCAATAATAACAATCTGAAAAAATATCAATTGCACTTTGAAAAATTGTGTCTTTTAGAAATTTATGGTTACGTCTTTTCATTATAAATAGTTGCATCTTTTCACTATAAATGGTTGTGTTTCTTCATCAACTATAATTTATGTCTTTTCAAAACTATTTATATTGCTCAAAATTACAGAAAAAAAAAATTATTTGGATCTAACTTTTATTTTCTTACTATAATAGGGTTTTTTTTGTCGAACTTATTTATTTATCATAAAATATTATCAAGATACAAAGTGTTTAAAGTCATGGAGGTTCATACTGAATTTGAGTAAAAGATTCTATTTGGAGGTCCAATTTTGGCTAAAATATGAGCAGTTTCATTACATGATTGTTTTACATGTATTACATCAGAAAAATAAAATTAATTCAACCAAAATCTAATGATATGTTTATTATAAAGAAATTATATGTGTTTTGTTTACTAATATATATTATGTTATTTAATTTTTTGTTAACAATCCGAATAAATGTTATTTACACTTTCAAAAGTTGAGTCGTTTCAAAATTTGCAGTTGCGTTTTTTTATTATAAATGGTTGCATCTTTTCATTATAAATGGTTGCATTTTTTCATCACAACTGTTATTTGTGTCTTTTCAAAACTATTTATACTGCTCAAAACCAAACAAAATAATCGTTTGGGTCTAAGTTTTACATTTTTACTATGGCGGGTTTTTTTGTCTTAAACAATCTGAATAAATGCCACATACACTTAAAAAAATTGTATTGTTTCAAAATTTGTGGTTGTGACTTTTCATTATAAATGATTGTATCTTTTAATTATAAATGGTTGCGTTTTTTTATCACAACTGTTATTTGTGTTTTCTCAAAACAATTTATATTGCTCAAAACTACAGAAAAAAAGTCATTCGGATCTAACTTTTACCTTCTTACTATAGTGGATATTTTTTTTACCGTAAACTTATTTATATATCATAACATATTATCAGGATATAAAGTGTTTAAAAGTCCTGGAGGTTCAGATATTGAATTTGAGTAAAAGATACCATTTCGGGGTTCGATTTTAGCTAAAATATGATAAGTTTCATTACAAAATTGTTTTACATGCATTGCATCAGAAAAATAAAATATATTCAACCAAAATCTAATGATATTTTTATTATAAAGAAATTACATGTGTTTTGTTTACTAATATATATTATGTTATTTAATTTTTTGTTAATAATTCGAATAAATGTCATTTACACTTTAAAAAGTTGTGTCGTTTCAAAATTCGTGGTTGCATCTTTTCATGATAAATGGTTGCATTTTTTCATTATAAATGGTTGTGTTTTTTCATCACAACTGTTATTTGTGTCTTTTCAAAGCTATTTATATTGTTCAAAACCACAAAAAAAAATCATTGGTCTAACTTTTACTTTCTTACTATGGTAGATTTTTTGTTGTCGTAAACATATTTATTTATCATAACATGTTATCCGGATACAAAGTGTTTAAAAGTTTTGGAAGTTCAGATATTGAATCTGAGTAAAAGATTCTATTTGGGATCCAATTTTGGCTAAAATATGAGCAGTTTCATTACAGATTTTTTTTATATGTATTACATCAGAAAAATAAAATTTATTCAACCAAAATCTAATGATATTTTTATTATAAAGAAATTATATGTATTTTGTTTACTAATATATATTATGTTTTTTGTTTATGAAAAACACTTATATATTTATAGTTAATTGTGTTATTTTCAAATTTTAATATTCATTGTTAGTTGTTTATAAATTTAAGGTACCTAATATTTGGATTCTTTGTTCTAATTTCAGAGAAATATATTTATGTAATGTAACAAATACACATATATTTTATATATGTATTTTTAAGGTATCAAAGTTTTTTTATATTTTAACTAATATATTTGTAATGTACTTTTTGATATTACAAATCTTTTTTAGAAACTATAGTTGTCTTAGAAAATATATTATAAAATTTCATTTCATCATTTTTATTATACATATTTTCTGTAGTATTTTTTAAAAATATCAACTTTTTATCATAATTCTTTGTTTCTAACTTTTCAATAATAAATGTATAATTTATAAACTTTTTTTTGAAAGATTATCTTTATATTTATTTTTTACTTTACACTTTTGCACGAATATAATTTTTTAATAATTATACAAATAGAAGATCACATATTTATATCATATATTTATATTGTATATTTTCATATATAGTTTTTTTAACACTCTTAAAAGGTTGTATATTTTATTAATTTTAATAATTAGTAATAATAATCCTAAAAAATTTTGTAAAAATTTACATAATTTTATTATAATTGGTTTGTACATTTCCATTTAGAACTTATTGTATAATTCAAAAAAATACAAAAGATACTTTTTTCTTTTAATAGTTATAAGTTGTTTTAGATGTTTACATTTTTTATTATATTATTTTTTATTTTATTTCAAATAAATGTTCTGTTTAATTTTTAGTATACTGCAGATTAATTCGAGAAGCGGAGGTCTTTTTCTAGTATTAATAATATAGAAAAGAAAAATTAAACTTTTAAATAAAAAATAAATTTAATAAATAAATAAATAAAATTACTCTACATGCTAAATCCTAGTATTATCCAAATGGAATAGATGGATGACCATCTGAATAAATCATCTAGATAAAGATGACAAGTGATCAAACAAACATGGCCAAGCAAGAAAGGAGAATCGAGAAGTCGGACTCTTTGGCAAAAAGTGCTTGATATCGATGAACGAGAACTCTATTTTAGTTTTAATGAATTGAGTATTTGCACCCAAAAAGATGATGTATATATTAGAATGAAAGATTTGGCGACTGCCATAAACTAAAATACAGTGCTGCGGCTCGAACTATATATTATATTATATTGAAGTTCAAACCCAAAAATTTGGTAAAGTTCTATCTTCCTGGCCTTTTATCTCGTGATGTCTGAATACTCATAATCTTCATCGGAAGAGTCATATTCATAATTGAAAAGTGAGAGAGTACTTCGATCAGGTTAAAATCGAGAATCCTACCTCCCGAATCATTCCATCATCGTAGATCTCCCATGAGATCGTCGGCGGGAAAGCATCTCTCGCATTCTCTACGGAGAAACCGCGGGAATCCTGAAGCTGGATTTTGGATTCCGGCTTCGAGGTCGTGCGATTCTCAGAAGATGTGGAATTCCACGGCGGTGCCGCCCGATGAGACAAGTCCTGATCAAAACTCGATCGACGCGGGGTCTTCTATGCGGAAACCCGTCAGCTTGTGGCCTGGAATGTACCATTCTCCGGTGACCAATGCGCTTTGGGAAGCCAGACGCAATATGTTCGAAAACCCTACCGGAGACTATTCTCAGTCGGGATTGGCGGCTAAGCCTCCGTCGAGAAGCCGGACCTCGATTCTCTACAAGTTTTCCTCTGACTTCGTGCTTCGTGAGCAGTACAGGAACCCTTGGAACGAGATTCGTACGGGTAAATTGGTCGAAGATCTTGACGCTCTTGCTGGAACTATCTCCTTTAAGGTTCTTACTCTGATCGTAATGTTGTTTTATCATTTCGAAAACTCTAGAATCACATCTACCTTCGCATAAGATCATTTCCTGGCAATTGATTTGGATTCAATGGCTTTGACAGTGCGAGAAGTTTATGGATTATGAATAGATTTTTGGCTCTCTTGTTCATCAATTGTGTTCCTTCTCCAGTATCATCTTTCCATGTGTTTGTAATTTTGAGTAATTGGGGAATTGTATGCTTTAATTGAACAGCATTGCAGCAGCGGTGATGGCAGTGCGAGATCAATGATATTGGTGACTGCTTCTGTGGATAGGATTATCATGAAAAGACCAATTCGTGTGGATGCTGACCTCAGTATAGTAGGCGCTGTTACATGGGTTGGGAGATCATCCATGGAGATGCAATTACAAGTCATCCAAAGTCAAGGTATCTGTTTCTCTGCACTTCACAATCTTCTTCCCTCAGCTTCCCTAAAAAAATTACTTCTCTTTGTCTCAAATGGCTTTTAGCCTTTTACTGATATTTTATCTGCAACAACGAATATGGTAACCTGCATAGATGGTAGCAATACAAGTAAAAAGTCTGATTGAATTCGAAGTTACATTGGTTATGTTGGGATTCATGCTTGAGCTGGTAAATTAGGCAGTAAAAAAGTTGATGAGGATGGAGCAAATGATAGTTGTGAGATTTTTGTTGAATTTGAAGTATATATAGCTTTTCTTGTAGACAACTTATTGGTTTATCATTGGAACGAAATATCACTTTCATGGTACCTTTTAACTCAGTGATATCTCTGTATTCACGCAATGCAATTGACTTCTCTTGTTGAGTGGTGGATTTTTCCCCTTTCAAACTTGATGAATCCCACCAATTTATATCATTCTCATCACATTAAATGGACCTGTTGTTTTGCTGAAATTTTCTAACTGAAAGATTTTGCAGATGCCAGCGACCTCTCTGAGTCGGTTGCTCTTGAAGCAAACTTTACATTCGTGGCTCGGGATGCCAAGACAGGCAAGTCAACTCCAATTAACCCAGTATCGCCAGAAACCGAACATGAAAAATTGCTGTGGAAAGAAGCAGAAGAGAGGAACAAACTAAGAAAACAAAAGAGAGGAGAGAGAAAAGAAGAGCATGAGAAGTTGAAAGACTTAGAGAGGCTAAACGAGTTATTAGCAGAAGGACGAGTATTCCAGGACATGCCAGCTCTTGCAGATCGGGACAGCATCCTGATTAAGGACACTTCCCATGAAAACTCATTGATCTGTCAGCCGCAGCAACGGAATATACATGGTAGAATATTTGGAGGCTTCTTGATGCGCAAGGCCTTTGAGCTGGCCTTCTCCAATGCTTACACCTTCGCTGGGGTATCACCACGTTTTCTTGAAGTTGACCGCGTCGATTTTATCAAACCAGTGAGTCCATGCCCTTCTCATCGTTTAAGTGTGCTGTGAAAGAAAAAGCAGTGATGTGATATGGTTCTTGAGGGAGCATTTTTTTCTGATGATGTAGGTGGATGTTGGGAACTTCCTTCGGTTCAAATCACGAGTACTGTACACAGAAGCTAACAGCTCAGCTGAACCGCTGATCAACATCGAGGTTGTAGCTCATGTTACAAGTCCAGAGCTCAGGTCTAGCGAAGTAAGTGTACAGAGATAACTTAGAGGTTTGTGAAGGGGTTTCTTTATATAATATGTGATGGTGATGTGATTTTTTTGTGTGGTAGGTCTCCAACAGGTTCTACTTCACCTTCAGTGTGAGACCTGAAGCCATGAAAGATGGATTAAGGATAAGGAACGTGGTTCCGGAAACAGAAGAAGAAGCTAGAAGGGTTATCGAACGCGTGGACGCAGAGAGACCAATCTCATTGCCTTGATCGTTCGCCTCATTTTGAACCGTTTGATTTATGTGTGACTATAATATGAATCAGAAACCTTGAGTATTCTTAATTGTAAAAGGATTATTAATTGAGAAGATAGAATAAAAACTCAAAATAACCTGGCACAATCTCTTCTTTTTGGCCATGTTAATGGAATCTTTTTTTTTTGGTGCGTATGTTAATGTTAATGGAATCTTTGAGCAAAAATAACTGATATAATTGAGAAAGAAACATCAAATATTTTGTCTACCAATTGATAATAATGTTTTCGACCTACATACATGTGCATACTTCTGTTCCTAACTAACCTACACGTTTTTAGTTGTGTTAGTGACATGTTTTCATACTTTTGGTAAACAAAATTACCATCATCTTCGTAGAAAAAATAACCAAAAAACTTTGTAATGCCCGAACAACCTACATGTATCAAATAAAAGTACTTATTTTACCACTGAGCCTAAAACAAATTCATGAAGTGATTTATTACGCCTGGAAAATCCAATCATTTCTTGCGATTACAATCATTTTTGGCTGAGATGGTTTTTTCTAATCACCTTTTTTGCCAAATCGCTTTTTGCCTTTAGACCCTTTCAAAATCGATGGAAAGCAATCGAACCCAAATTCTTTCATCTCAGAATCAAAACTTTCTGGGTTCACTTCCGTGTTGCTACTGAACGTCGGAATCAGAACTCAGAGAACATGGACCGGAGAGAAGACGATCAACAGAAGCGCGACGATTCCAGATTCAATCAGACACTCAAGAACGTCCAGGGGTAATCAATCTACTTTGAATGTTTTCTCCTCCCGGATCTTTCATTTCTTTCTGATTTCAATTCAGTTCTTTAGATCTGTAACTCTGTTACGCTACTGTGAATCACCGAATTCTGGGGGTAATCATTTCGATTCGCATAGAGTTTCGGAAATGTGGTGATTTTGATTTTCTGCTGTTTGTTGTTTTTGCTTTAGGTTTCTTAAAGGTAGGAGTATTCCTGGTAAGGTATTGTTGACTCGGAGACCGGATCCTCCTCAAGACCCTATATCTCCAACGTATCACCGGAGCTTGTCGGAGAATGACGCCGGAAGAAATGAGCGCTTGGAGAATCCCGTCGAGGTATAGCTGACTTTAGCTTTTCGCTTCTTCTTCTTCTTCCCTGTAAGAAGTGTGAAAGTAAGAGAATCATGCAGGTGGAAGATCACAATTCAAGCAAGAAACATGATAATACGTATGCCAGTAAGCTACGATCAAACTCCAGCGGTGAAAGGATAGCGAAAGAAGTCCAGAACATGAAGATAGGTGTTAGATCAAGTGACACTGCAAGAGTTATGAAGTTCAACAAAGTGCTTTCAGAAACTACTGTCATTTTAGGTGACTCTACTTTGCCTTTTTGACAATGGTGTTTTGTTTGCTATTTCTTGGTTTCGCGGAACCTGTTTTGATAGTGAATGATGAATTTTGTCAAGGGCGTTGTGTTGAAGTTGTTTACGAATAGCTCTATGAAAGACTCTATTTTGATCTTCTTCTATCTTCTGCTAAATCGATAATATGATATAGCTCTATGAAAGACTCCATTTTGATCTTCTTCTGTCTTCTGTTAAATTGATGATATGATATGCCTTCTTTAATTTCCTCTTCTTACCCGTAGAGAAACTGCGCCAGTTAGCGTGGAATGGTGTGCCACACTATATGCGCCCTGATGTCTGGCGACTTCTCTTGGTACGCTTCATATTTAAGCTTACTCATTTTGACTTTTGATTCGTTTGTCCTTTTTATGTACATTCTCCTTTTACTTATGGTGCAAATATCTTGACACTTTTCTCTTTTAACAGTTTTTTCAATTACTATACTGATGATCATCATAATTTATTCTGTAAAGATCTTGTTTAGCTTATTTCAGTCACTAGTCAGATGGTTTATGTTATTAGCTCTTCCCAATAATTTTGCATTTTTGGTTTGTTTTTACCATTTGAATTTTAATATAAACTGACAACAGGGATATGCACCACCTAATTCAGATAGAAGGGAGGCTGTTCTGAGAAGAAAACGTCTTGAATATCTTGAATCTGTTAGCCAGTTTTATGACCTTCCAGATTCCGAACGTTCTGATGATGAGATCAATATGCTTCGCCAGGTTTTTCCGTCTCACTACTTCTCTAACAAAAATCTTCAAAAGTTGGTAAAGTCTCTTAGCAAGTGTAATCTTTCTCAGATTGCTGTTGACTGTCCAAGGACTGTACCAGATGTCAGTTTTTTTCAGCAAGAACAGGTGCAGAAATCATTGGAGCGTATTCTTTACACGTGGTGAGTTATAGAATGCAGGCTGTGATAACAGTTGTTCTACTTAAGAATCAGTTGGAAAGCTATGTGGAAAGCTAAGTCTAAAAATTTAATTTGCTGAGTTTGTAGGGCCATTAGGCATCCAGCGAGCGGATATGTTCAGGGAATAAATGATCTGGTCACTCCCTTTCTAGTTATATTCTTGTCAGAATATCTAGAAGGCGGTGTAGACAGTTGGACAATGTCCGATCTATCTGCTGAGAAAGTCTCAGATGTAGAAGCAGATTGCTACTGGTGCTTAACAAAGCTACTTGATGGTATGCAAGATCATTACACCTTTGCTCAACCTGGAATCCAGAGACTTGTGTTTAAGCTAAAGGAATTGGTCAGGCGTATTGATGGTAGGCTCCTGCTTTTGGCTTTGATCTTATAATAATTGGTTTGTCATGACGCTTGATGCTATCGTACTGCATTTGCTAGTGTAGTGATTCATTAAATACCCACATATCTTACAAATTTAGGTCCTGATATATTGTTTTAGGATGTAGATAAAACATTTAATCTCAATTCGTGTTGCTTTGTTTATGTACTAGAACCTGTTGCAAGACACATGGAAGAGCAAGGACTAGAGTTTCTTCAATTTGCTTTCCGGTGGTATAACTGTCTTCTGATACGTGAGGTTAGGCACCATTTCACCTCCTACTATACGCCACCGTTTCTCAGACCTGACGAAAACCTTTGAGCTTTGTAGATCCCTTTCAGTCTCATAAACCGCCTATGGGACACTTATCTTGCTGAAGGAGATGCATTGCCTGACTTCCTAGTGTATATATATGCTAGCTTTCTCTTGACGGTAAGATTCATTCAAAGAGGATTCAAGTTCGGTTTTGCAACTGTTTATCGTTTTGTATCATGAGAAGAATCGAATACAGAGTTTTGTTGTTGAACAATGCAGTGGTCGGATGAGCTGAAGAAGCTGGACTTTCAAGAGATGGTAATGTTCCTGCAGCACCTTCCTACACATACATGGACAGACCAAGAGCTGGAGATGGTTTTGTCAAGAGCTTACATGTGGCACAGTATGTTCAACAATTCCCCGAACCATTTGGCTAGCTGAATTTGGATTTTCCTCGACTGTTTTTCCTTGGTTATATTTATGTTCTTCTTCTTGTCGAAATCAGATTTTTTTTTTTTTTTTGGGTTTTCTATGGTAAATGCTAACGTTCTTGTCTTGTTAATTGTTTCACGCGTCACTTGTTGAATCTGTCACCAACTTGTGCTTGTGTGTTTGTAATATTTGTAGCTTTCATCAATTTGGCTGTCTCGGTAACTTTTTATTAGTTCATGTAAATTTCTTCCTTTCCCAACTTACAGTATTTAGATCTGAGATGGATAAATGATAAATGATAAATCTCACTCTGTATCCAACTATCATCCAGGGCCAACCGACTTTGTTTTCGCCCGCCCGACCCGACTTTTCGGGTGAGTAAACATAAAGATAATGTAGTACGTAAATAGAAAGAATGAGATCATTATGGGTTAAAATATTATTATTTGATTAATCAACCTCAAAATTCAGACAAGATGTGGACGGACATAAGCAACGTTTTCAATAAATCTACTTAAAAGACGATGGTCTCTTTTGTCTTGGATTCCTAAGCATAATAATACATGTTAAAGTCAACATCAATCAAATTTTTCGATCGATTATTTGCATCTTTATATCATCAACTCTGTTGGATAGCTGTTTTATATATATAATTGACAAGAAACAGTGTTTCCTACTAAATTATTAATTGTTCTACGTTATAGTAGTGTCACTATTGCTAGTAAATTTCACTTACACAGGAAAAAATCAGGAAAAGTTAAAATAAAAATTAAAAATACTATATTTTATGATGGATTTGATGATGATGAGTCATCACTTTTAAAGACCATGCCTAATTACGGTAAAATGAAAAGAAAATAGAGAGAGAGAGAAGAGAGAAAGGTAAAGTAAGAACAACTCTCAAGTTCTCTTTTGCTTTCCATTTTGTGTGGCTCATTCATCTCTCTCTCTCAGTCTTCTGCTAACGTTCTTCATCACCGTATTCGATTTTTTTCTCTCGGAAGAAGAAGCCGACGGGTTTCAATTTCTACTGGGGAAAAAGCTCCCTTAGCTCTCGCCTCTTTGCTCGGAAGAAAAAAATGGTTTGATTTTCAGGGATGGTGAAATTTGCAGGTATTTTCACTTGTTTCTTCTTCTTCTAGCTATCTCTTCCTCTTGTTAGGGCTCATAAAGTACTGAAATCACTTCCGATTCGAGACATTCTATGGTTTCGCTTCGTAAATGTCTAATCGTAGTCTCTGCGTTTTATCCTTCTACTTTGGTGCTTAGTAAATCTTTTTGGAGAATTTGCAGTTAGAAGGATTGGTGTTGATTCTGGTTTTTCTGGGCAGAATAGAATTTTTAACCTTTTTTCGTGTTTATGGTGGATCCGTATCACTAAGAGGATCTATCTCTATGCTCTTGAATAAAAAAAAAAGTAAATGGTTGTTAGATGCCCAAAATATTTGGTGGAAGAACACAAGATTTATAGTATCTTTTATGTTTTTTTTTATTTTTAAGGTTGGGGCTTGAATTCTTTATTTCAAGTAAGAAATTAGTTGGAGGAATACTTTAGAAAGAAAATAGAGCTCAGCTCATAACTAAGGCAGAAGATTCACAAGACAATCTAACTTCCTTTTTCTGCATCGAATGAGTTCGTTGAAACTTGAAAGTTGCTAACTTTAATTTTGGGTTTATTGTTTTCTTCTGTAGGAGTTTTTTTGCCAGACTTGGTACTGGTCATGACTTTTATCTGACTACCGTATTGTGTGGCTTTTAGCTATGGGCTCTTTAGAGACTGTTTGTTGGCTTAAGGGTAAGTTTAGCTTTCGTTTACTTGCCTTGTTAGATTTAGCTCTAGTTTGAGTCATTGATACAAAAGAAGGTGCAACTTTTGTTTTTTCTCAGCAAAAAAAATCATGAGAGCAGTAGTTTCACATACTGTTCCTTGGGTTCCCCAAGTTCACTGCAATGGTTTTGGTTTTTTACTTGTTGGAATGAGTTTTGTTAGTTTTATGTTGCTTTACAGAATTCAGGTTTAACTCATAAGAAAAGTTCTTGTTCCTTTGAAGACCATTTCTCTAACTAGATCCCAACTCTCTTATCTCCATTACATGGTCTTGTGATTGACTTCTTGGATTACATACATGGATAGAAGTTGTTTTGTTAATCTGGTTAACTTGCTTCTCTTAACAGGCTGTTTGGTTCATCGCTTCCTGCTATTTATCATCTGGTTGTCTAGCTTCCAAGATGTAGCTGCGCATTATAAGGTTAGTGAGCATAGTAGCAGCTCGACGACCTCTGAGCTAGCGAATCCACCTGGTATCGGAGTATCAGGTCCCATTGAAGTATCTCCATCCGTCATCCCCAAATATGCATCCCCTGCTTTACCATGGACACCACCAATGTACCCTACGTTTCCTGATACATATGAACCCAAGTTAACCGGGAAATGTCCTACAGACTTTCAAGAAATTTCAAGTGTTATCGACACCGCAGCTTCTGATTGTTCCCAGCCGTTCGCTGCACTTGTTGGGAACGTGATATGCTGTCCACAGTTTGTTAGCTTGCTTCATATTTTCCAAGGCCAGCATAACTTGAAGTCAGATAAGTTGGTTCTCCCTGATGCAGTTGCTACAGATTGTTTTTCAGATATCGTTAGCATCCTGGTCAGCAGAAGAGCCAACATGACAATACCTGCACTTTGCTCCGTAACACCGTCAAATCTAACTGGAGGTTCTTGTCCGGTAATAGACGTCACAACGTTCGAGAAAGTTGTTAACAGTAGCAAGTTACTGGATGCCTGTCGCACTGTCGATCCTCTCAAGGAGTGTTGCAGGCCAATTTGCCAAGGTGCGATTATGGAAGCTGCGCTTATAATCTCTGGACACCAGATGACAGTTGGTGATGATAAGATCCCTTTAGGAGGATCAAATAACGTCGACGCGATCAACGACTGCAAAAATGTGGTGTTTTCGTATCTTTCAAGGAAGCTCCCAGCAGACAAAGCAAACACTGCATTTCGAATATTGTCGTCCTGCAAAGTTAACAAAGGTACTGAACTGTTATCATATTACCTTCGTCATCTTTCTCTTTTGTATAGTCTTGGAAATGGTTTTGACTTTACATTGTGGTTTTACAGCTTGCCCCTTGGAGTTTAAGCAGCCAACAGAAGTGATCAAGGCTTGTCGCAATGTGGCTGCTCCTAGCCCTTCTTGCTGTAGCTCGTTGAATGCGTACATTTCTGGGATACAAAACCAAATGCTAATAACAAACAAGCAAGCCATAGTCTGTGCTACAGTCATCGGTTCCATGTTACGGAAAGGTGGTGTCATGACAAATATCTATGAGCTTTGTGATGTCGATCTCAAAGATTTCAGTGTCCAAGGTAATTTGTTCTGTTCTAGGCTCCAAAAAGAACCTCCAAATTGCTGTGTTGTCTTTGCCTCTCCCCCTGACATTACCTCTCTTTTTCTGTTTCATGGGTATGACTTTGGGCGATAAGCAGCATATGGAATGCAACAAGGTTTGTATCAGCTCATCTCATAATCCAAGTTGTTTGATATGTGTCTTGTTTGTTCACCACATGAAGTTATAAAGTGTCTAAGATCTTTTTGGTGACAATGTGAATACAGGTTGTCTTCTTAGAAGCTATCCCGCGGACTTGATATTTGACAACACAACAGGGTACAGTTTTACATGTGATTTGACGGATAACATAGCTGCGCCATGGCCATCTTCATCGTCAATGTCTTCTTTGTCTCTCTGTGCTCCTGGTAAAAGTTTCTCTTTACATGTTCTCTTCTTCATCGTCGTTGGAGCTTCCAAAAAAACAAAAAAAAATTAGATTGCAAAAAGGAGTTTTGTGTTTTTGCTGATTCGATCTACTGCTATCTGCAGAGATGTCATTACCTGCCTTGCCAACATCTCAGACTCTTAAAAATCACGGTACGTATAGATTCCTTGAAATGTAATCTCTAGTCTCACAACATATAAGTAAAATCGACAAAGTTAAGAGCAACAGAACTCAAAAAGACGAGCGTTTGCGACATGTATTTGCAGGGTTTCGCGGGTGTGCGTTTGGAACGTTGCGTTTCATTATCATTTGGGTGTTTCTTCTGTATGGTGTTGTGAGACATTAAAATGAGATTTAGGAAGGGTTTTTTTTTATTTGTTGGTAGTCAGTGAGGAGGACTTTGGATAAAAACAATGGCAAGCTCATTTTGCATTTCTTCTGTATATGTTTTATTAACAGGGTAAGGGTAATGTAGTAGCATCTTCTCAATCCCCATGTATAGCATTTTTCTTCTTCTTCTTCTCCTTCGTTGTTATGAGTTTCTTCTTTTTTATTCTGCTTTTGGTCACTTCATTTGCAGACTAAAAAATCTGAATTGATCTCATTATTATTACCTCAAGTCAGGTCAGGAAGACAGTAAGCCTTGTAATCAAATCCGATTATGAAAACACTCGAACACTGTCCATCAAGTGAAAACCGATAAAACCAAATTAAAATGAAGAACCAAACTGAACCTAAACCGTTAACCAGATCGGTCGGTCCAATTATCGAACCACGAGTTATCCTTTAGTCTTCTGCTTCTTCCCCCTTCGTCTCCGAGACTCGGTACCTCTGCGTTTTTCTCTACAGCGGGAAAACTCTTTCTTGATGATAATGCAGACAATCATCCACAACGTTGCGTTCTGTAGCTTTAACTCTACCGTAAGGCCTTCTTCTTTACTATATCTTGCTTTGCTTTATTCAAAATGCCTAATTTGATTTGTTCCCAACATTTTCCGTGTAACTTTGCAGATAATCGACCCGAAACCAAGATTTCAATTTTCTTCTTTTGTAACTCTTCCTCCAACTTCTTCCGTGCTACCGAAATTTTGTACAAGGTAGAATTTCGAGAATTTATGTAGCCATTACTTTTGGATTTCCGCCTTTTTGTCTATTATAACATAAAGTTGAAGCATGTTCTTGTTCAAGAACAAGTCGAATAAACAAAATGTTAGTCTTATTGAGCATTGATGTGTTTACTGGAGTGTTTGGAGCATATTCATTCGATTGTTTTACTCCATGTCTGGTTTCTTCGTTGGATCATTGATGTTTCTCTCTCACTCTTCACAGATCAACGAATAAACAGTTTGTGACAATTTGTGCAGCACCATCAGGTTCAAACTTCAAAATCATATTATCTCCTTTTTGTTTTTTTTAGCTTCTTCGTTTTCATGAAAATGTGTTTCTCTTCGGCAGATATCGAGACTTTTCCTAAGGATGAATCAGTTCTGATTACGAAAGTGGAGACTGCAAACAGCAACGAAGTTAAGGTATGCTGTTGTTTTTGCGCGAAGAAGCATGATATTTACTGGTGACATGGATAAATGTGACATCTATGTTGCACATATCTCTTCCAAAATTACAAATAAAGACTTCTAGAACACATGGTTGTATCAGTGTCTTGAGAGTTTGTTGCTTTTCACCTTATCATCCCTATTGGCTGAGTGCAGGTCCATGTAGAAATATCAGGAGAGAAGACTCAAACAGTATTCAATCATGTATTTGAGAAAATGGTAGCTGCGGCTCAGCCAATTCCTGGGTTCCGAAGAGTTAAAGGAGGTACGCTTAGGAACATGTATTGGTGTTTTGTAGCTTACTTAGAGAGAGCAAATGGTTTGATTCTTTCTTAGTGTTAAATGGCATTTTCCTTCAACTCTCTGCAACTTAGTGGACATATATAAGTCACTCTATTAGCTAATATGATTCATTGCTGATGACTGTTAATTCCTTTGAGTGCTTCTCTAATGCTTTTCCCATTTCTGTTTTGTTTTCTCTCTTCTACATCTGCTTATCAATCTTGGAACTCCAGGGAAGACGCCAGATGTAAGTTTTTACTTCAGTGTATCTTATACATAGAACCTCTCCGGGATTGGACTTATGTGCAAAAGTTCATGCCATGCACTTTACTGATACTCTAAGATTCAAAGTTCTTGCAAAGATATTATACGCTGACAAACTCATTTTATTTACATTCACTGAGTTGTTCATTGCCCGGTGCTTAAGTGCCCCCTTTCCTTATATTTGCAGATTCCCAGAGATATTTTGTTAGAGATCCTTGGATATTCGAAAGTCTATAGGCAGGTGATAAAGAGATTAATCAATTCTGCTATCGAAGACTATGTTAAACAGGTATGTCATAAGCTCAGGCTTCTCAGTAGACTCTATTTCAGATGGCAACATTGTCAATACAATGAATAGAATCCTCGTTTAAGAGTTATTGGATACGTGCTTAAAACCGGAGCCTGCTTTGAGTGAAATGTGATAGATGATCCGAAAGAATTTTGTTATACTTATAAACTCTCTATATCTAATGCTTTTTTGAGGAATGAGAAATTAAGTGAAGCCAGCCTGTTGTTTGTGCCTGGAGTTCAAAATGGTTTGATTTTGGTTGTTGATGCTTTCGTAGGAAGACCTAAAGGTTGGCAAAGAGTTGACTGTGGAGCAAAGCTATGAAGATCTTGAAGAAACATTTGAACCAGGTGAAAGTTTCAGCTTTGATGCTATTATAAAGCTTCAGGATGTGAGTTGAAGAATGTGTTGATCCCTAGGTACTTATCAATGTGATATCTCTTGTTACCTTGTCTGGTAACAACTGGATTTCTTGTTGAGTAGGAAAGGATAATCTCATTTGGATTAAGCTTGTGGTAATAAAGTCTGAAACTTTAGTTATGTAGTTCTTAAACTCTTGTAGTTTCAATTAGATGATTAATGTGTTCTCCATAAAAACAAGGTAGCCTCATAAATAACTAAAAAAAACAAAAAATAGAAATGATTCGGTTTCGTTTCCTAACATGGACCATGTTTAGTTTTCTTCATGCATAGACAATAGACTTTTCCAAAACGCACCTGCACTCCATGGTTAAAGGCAAATCGATCATCTTCTCGCTACCCCAAGACTGTGACACTCCCTGCAGCTCCCGAGCTATGTCTTTAACTAACTCTACCCTTTTCTTTTCTCTATTAGTACAAACACAAACTCTCTCTTGTGTCTCTAAATGTTTCTCTACCATTGAAATCTCATTCTCTAAGGTAATCAACTTGTTCTTGTCCTTCATAAGAGTACTATGCTCGAAAGAATCACTTCACCATTGTGGTTTTGCAATGAATACTGGTGCAGTATCTTTATGCCTCTGCAGATTATTCTCTTATGTCTCCTGTGACCATCACTACTATCAGGCCTAGGACCTTCCATTTACAGCACTCTTTGAGTATTCTTCCTCCAGCAAGTTGGTGTAGCTTCTGAAATGTGTATTCTTTCTCAAACTCCCTCCGTCGGAGAACCGGTAAGTTCGGTGTCTGGTTTAACTTTCTCACTGGTCTCTTCAGTTGTTGAGTCTGCGCTAGTTTCTATATTCTCGAGAATTCCCATGCTAGCGAGAATCTCATCTCTTGGCTCATCTGGATACTTTACTCTATAATACTCCAACTCCATCTCAAGATCTTGTATCTCCTTTTCCCTGTCAGCCAAGACATCGTTTGCTCTCTCAAGTGCATCGACGTCGTGCTCCGCTTGCTCATCCATCATTCTCAGGTACTGTAAAGCTTCCATATGGAGAGCTGCTTTCTCCTCCTGCAACCGCGTGATCATCGCCATTGCTTGATTTGTAGCAATAGCTGAGGCATTTCTCTCTTCCTCTAGTTCTTTAGTCACATCTCTTAGGCATTTCCTGTCATGCTCTAGTTGTTGCTTCAACACATCAACAAGACTTTCGCCCTCGATGTCACTGCTGATGCTTACAAATGATTCCACAGAAGCAGAGTGCTTAAGCTCCGGTGATGCATTTGAAGTATTTTGAGTCTCTGTTACCTTTGAGGAAACTTTATCGCTATGTTCTTCTTTGGAGATTTTTGGTGACGTCATAGGCTCAGTCTCTCCATGCTCTTCTTTGCCGGAGTGTTCTTCTGTGGCAGAACCAGTCACATTGTTTGATGTCAAAGGTTCAGATTCTCCATTATCATGATCATCCTCTTCTTCATGACTAGAATGGGATTTCGCAACCGAATAGCCATTATTACTTCCATCGTCTTCCTCGCTGGATTGTTCTTCTTCAGCTAATGAAACAGATGCATCTTTTGATGTCAAAGGCTCGGAATGTCCATTGACCTCACCTTCTTCATTACTGAAGTATTCTTCTGCTACGTTGTTTTCATTAGCCTCGTTTTCTTCCACACTTGAGTCTTCTTCCTGTTCCTGAGAATCTGACATATTATTCAACAAAGGCTTGGAATCTCCTTCAACTCCATCCTCCTCATCACTAGAAGATTCATCTGCAACAGAAACAGGCACATCTGTGTGATCAGACACTTTTTGCTCCATAGCTGCCTCAGATGCTTCAGGTGAACCGGAGAAAGTCTGAGAAAAGTCTGCGGTATCATCATGCTGTTGAATCCGGATTTCTCGAGAGGCAATAATTCCTCCAGAAGGGCTCAAAAACTCGCCGCCAGAAGGAGTCGAGTTGCCACTTTCCTCGGCTTCAGTTTCTGCAATAAACAACATCAAATTAAGGAACAATATGACACAAGTGTTCATGAGGAGTTAACTAAAAAGGCATGTGAGCATACCATTGTCTGCTTCTACTCCTGCACCATCATCCTCTTGAGGTAAACTCAGTGAGAACGGACGAGCTTCACTCATAGTTATAAGCTCAGAAAGTACAGCCTCATGCTCTGCTTCTTTTAGAGGTCTTTGTTGCTGAGTCTTGTTTACAGGATTACGCTCAGGCTTGGAAGATTCCACGTTTTCTTGCAAATCAGGCTGCCGCTTACGATTCAACATCTTCTTGTCTTCAAACGACTTCCGAGATCGGTGTTTGTGGACACGTTTCTCAGATGGCTCAACATTGAAGTTTGCCATATGGAGGAAAGCTTCATCATCCGAAAACAGGAACTCGGATTCAGAATCCGAGTGAATCTTCAGCTCAGTGTAACCCACATGAGCCATACCGTCGCTGCGGCTTCCAATGTCTACATAGTCACCACCACTCGCTGCCTCCTTATGATCTCTCATCTTCTTCAGACTTCCACCGCTTCCTCGTCTTGTAAGATGATGCCTCGGAGCAGGAATGTTTGGTTTAGCGGCGGAGTTTCTTCCCCGAGAGCCTAACCGAATCAGTCTCTGCGTATGGTGCCTCGTCCTCCACGGTTTATTGCAGCAAGAACATGACCTAGGGTGAGCGAAATGGCTTTTAGAGAGAAGATCGTACCCTAGTTTCCCAAGAAGCAATCTGTTCATGTCTGGATTCGGACCGGTCATTTTGGTGAAGGACAAGAGACAATCGTCGCACATGCCACGACAGTCTGCGAGGTTGTTGTCGTGATTCTGACATGACATGTAAGACGAGACCTCTGATCTGTGGTTTCTGCAGAGAAGGAGTCTCCAGTGAAGAGGATGAAGAAGCTTGGAACAGAGGAAACATGGCATCTGCAATCTGCAGTAGCGAGCGAACCAGACGAGGAGATAGGAGAGAAGAGCATCGACGAACATGAGGAATATGAGGAACCATTCGCAGGCTGCGTATGTGAGCACAGGCGCGAACCCGATTATGAACTTTTGTTCGAAGATAACATTTGAATCCATCATCTTTCAGAATGGTGATGGTGAATCCTGAAGAATAATATAACTCATCATCTCAAAAACAAAATCACAAGAATAAGGAGGGCAAAACTCAGAATCTTGTGTCTGAGATTTGCAAATTGATGAGTATTGAAGCAAAAAAAAAAACGTTAAGGATTCGTAAAAGTGAAAACTTTTGTTACCTGGGGAATGAAGATTAATTTGGTCAAAGAGAGAAGAGAGGGGAAATCTGAGAAAAATGAAGAATATTCCTTGTTCCGCGGTAAAATCAAAACAAAAACTTGTTCAACGATTTGTTTTGGTTTTGCCTCAATTAGTGCAACTCTCTCTCTCTTCTCCACGTTCTTTTTTCGACCCTATTTTATTGAATTACCATAAATCTTTTAAATTTCTCCAAAAAAAAACTAAAATGTATTATCTTTTTTTTTGTGTACAATCTTGAAAGGATTTATTTACGATATTTTATTGGTTAAATTTTACCATTTATCCATTGACCAAAAACTCCCTTCACTCAACAGCCTGTATCTGTAAAATAAGCTTCACCTCATGAGGCAGTTACACATTTTCCAAAGAAGCACAAAGACATTGTAGAGAGTAAGTTTCACATGCCTTTGAAAGTAGTTGAGACCAGCTAAAAGTAAAATCGAAGAATGTAATGTGAGTCATGTGACAAAAAAGTTACTTAAAGAAAGATATATTCTCATTTAGTACAAACCTGTTAGCTCTCACACTAACACTAATCGAAACTTCATTAAGGGGATAGGCGGATGAACTTGATACTTGAATCAATTGCTACATCACTAATGAGGATATGATATATGTATATATAGTGAAAACCATTTTTTAAAAAGGTAGTAATTTAAATGATTATCTAGTTTGCTTTTATTGAGTAGAGATACTTATAATTACATCTTGTTATTATTAAGAGAATAAATGGATTCCAAAATCAATATAATTGTGGATGATAAATTCTGTAGGATGCATGTTACTTATATATGTTGTTGTTCCAATAGTAGTTTCCTTCAAAAAAAAAAAAAATTGCTGTAAAATAATTATTCCTAGATCTGCCAATGAACAGGGAGTACTTTGTATAAGATATTTTTCTTATATTATTATCTCAAATATTACTCATCAAATTTGGGGAAAATATAATAATTCCTATTTCTTTTATTATTTTCTCTACTCATTTCTATTGTTCCTAAAACTCAAGTTCTTTTGGAAATATGACACGACATAATATATACAGTATATATCATTATATGAAAGTCTCATTCATACTCTAGGTATTTGATTTTAAATTCTCGATAAATATTCTTTTTAAAAACAAAAAAACCTCTTTTGAACATCCATAGGTTAAAATGGATTGTTACGATCACGTTACGTGTTTTTGATACCTGAGAGAGATGACTCATTTCCTCATTACAATAACAAATACAGATACCTTAGCCTCTCTGTTGCACTAACAATCTCTATTTCCTCATCATCTTCTTAGTTTTAATGGAATTATGTGACTCACTTCTTACTTAAACTAGATCTTCTTCTTAGTTTTATTGGAATTATGTAAACATTTTTATCCCATCTATTCACTAACGTGTGACTCGGTTTAGGTAAGAACTTAATGGATTTTTCATTTTTCATTTTTTTGCATTTGTACTCTCTGCTAGTTGCAGAGATATGGAGTGGTTGTGTTGTTCAGTCTTCTATATATATACTATTAAAAGAAAATTTTATTTTTAAATTAACTTTTAGTTAATGTGTTATTTACAATATATGCCATTAAATTTCTATAGATTCATTAAGGGTAATTTAATCTTATCATTAAACTGTTAACAAATACATTAAATTAAATTAAATTATATTAGTTTATTAACAGATTATACCAATAAATTATATCTAATACTAATAAAATTCAAATTAATTTACTTTTAAAATAATTTTAAAATGTTCATAATATCATAATAACTAATATAATTATATATATTATATGATAAATTAAATATATGTTATATTATAATCAATTTCTTTTCTATAGTATTAAAAGAAAAGCACTACATTAAAAATTTTAAAAATTATTATTGTATTTACAAAAATATATAGTCAATGATGAATATATAATCATTATTTTTTGGTTATATATATACATACTATGAAAAAAAATATATGTGAATAATTTAGTTTTTCTGGTTTGTTAATGATTATTTTGTAGGAAATTATGGGTTTGCGGATTTGACAAACACAATTTTGTAGATTTTACGTGTTTTATAAATTTTAGCGGGTTTTATAAATTTTAGCGGAAAATATAGTTTTCCGAGAAAATGCCGGTTTGACAACAAATGTGCTTTTGTAGATTTAGCAAAATTGCAGAAACACATAATTTTTGAAATTTGGTTGTAAATCATGATTTTGCAGATTTTACGGATTTATGAGAAAATACGGGTTTACAAAATACGAATAACGCAATTTTGCGGATTTTATGAGTTTTACAGGTTTTAGCGAGAAAATGCGGGTTTGTGAGTTTGACGGAAACACATGAGTTTAGAAATCTGGTCATAAAACATAATTTTATGGATTTTATAAAATTTTAAAAAACACGAGTTTTGTGGATTTGGCGGGAAATGTTATTTTGCGGATTTTACGAGGTTTACATGTTTTGCAGATTTTATAGGTTTTGGTAGAAAATGTGGTTTTATGAATTTTACTGAAAATGCAGGTTTGCAGGTTTGACGACAAAATGCAATTTTGCAAGTTTGACAAAAACTACTCAATTTTAGAAATTTAGCCATAGAATATGGTTTTATGATGTTGGGAGAAAGTATAATTTTTGGTTTTGTAAAAAAATGTGGGTTTATAGTTTTGGCAGAAAAATACGGTTTATGCTATTTTTAAAGTTTCTACCAGAATTTTTGGTTTTGGTACAACAACGTTTTTATTTCGATAGAAAAAATGGTTTTGACAAACAAAAACTTGATTTTGTGGTTTCTATAAATAATATTTTTATCTGTTAATTTTTGAGATTCAAATGCTGCATCAAATCTCTATTTTTTAGCATTTTAAAAATCCAAATTTTGAGCTATTATAGAATTTGTATTCAGATAAAATATTCATATACTGATTTAATAATATTTAAAAGAATAATATTTGAGAGCATTTGCATCTAAATAAGTATATAGGACAAAAACAAACAAAGCCTAAGAATCTTAAATACAAACAAATAAAATCTCTCTTGCATTATAAAACATAATATTTTTAAAATATTTGTTACAAAACTTAACAAAAAATCTGCTAATCAAAATATTTTTTTTTTATAAAATCAAGCCTAAATAATTTTAAGAATATAAAACCATAATGTTAAAATAGTTTATAAAATCTAATAAAAAGTTTCTGTTTGAGCCATAATTTTAGATTTAATAATATAAGCTAATTTTTCTTTTTAACAAAAGTTTACTATAAATAGATTTGTGCTATGATCCAAAAATATTTTATAAAAAGAAATCTGCGCAAATGCGCGGATCCAAAATCTATTTAATAGACTTAAAATTAGGGGTGGGCAAAATATCCGTTATATCCGCTTCGAACCGGTATTTGCTTCGATCCGATTCGAAAAATCCGGATATATGTAAAACTTCGGAGCAAAGCAAATAGCAAAATATAGTATCCGTACAAAACAGAGCAAATCACAAATATGTTTTTAGACAACGTCGGATATCCGATCCGATCCGTATCTTTATAAATTTATTATATATTAGTATATATTATCATATATATATCAATTATATTATAATTTTTTATTAGTATACTCTCGATTTTCTGCCTAAATTTTCAACTTTTCTAAATTCTTTTGATTATATAAAATAAATGACTAAATAACCAATTATAAAAATAAATAATATGTTTAAACTTAAAATATATTAATAAATAATATTTTATTTGATATTAGTTAATAAGTATCAACAAAGGTTTTTTTAGTAAAGTTTAATATTAAAGTTTCAAATACTTAATATTATTTTTAAATATAAAATATTATTTTTTCCTCATCTAAATTTTGTAGGGTTATTTAGTTTAGATGAAAAATATTTTTTTTTATAATAAAAATTGATGTACTTTCAGTTTTACGTATATTAAACGGATCAAACTAAATATTCATAAATATCCGTAAATATCCGCAAATGTCCGCAAATATTTGTAAATTTTCTGGATATCCGAAAATCCGGATATTCGTATATTTCCGGAGCAAATCAAATCATAAAATTAAATATCCGTTAAAAACGGAGCAAATCACAAATACTTAAAAATTTCTGGATAACCGATCTGCGCCTACCCCTACTTAAAATGTTTTGGACTCTCATATATATATATATATATATAATTAATAATTTCATCAAAATATAACAATCAGATCATGGCGTCATTTGCTTCCAAATCTAAAACATCAAACAACTTAATTTAACCTTTTTCTTGATCATCACATTATGCTCAAAAGTGTGATGAAAGCTGTTCCATTTTTCAGAGAATCATTAGTCAGTTTTCTTGCTTGCAAACATCCCAATTACTTTCTTATATACTTCTAAAAAAGTCCATGGCAATCTTAAACGAGAAACGGAGTGAGTGGCTTCAATAATTCATATGTAATCCCAAATCAGTAATAAGTGACACTTGGTAGAAAACTAGCAGCTACATTAAGATTTAGACGATAAACCACATTTTGACTATTTAACCAAAAAAAAAGGAAGACCACATTTTATACTATTCTTCGTATAAATTTTAGAAGAGAGATTGAGAAAAAATGTTTAGTAGGAAAAGGAAGGATTGAGCTCACGAAAATGAACGAGATGTGTTTCGAAATTTCAGAATGTTTTATAAAAATGACTGAATATGAAACTTTGTTGATTTGGTAATTAACACCTTTATATGTTCAAAAAAAAAATCAGAATGTTTTCAATAGTTTTTGGTTTAAAATAGACAATTTTATCCCTTTTTGATGTGTTATTGACAATGACAATGACAAATGTTATGTTAAGATATCAAGATGCTTATTTTAGATCTTTTACAATAGTGTCCCATGTTAATTATGTATGTATATCATCATCAACAAAATTGACTCAATAATACGACTTGAGTAAATAATTACATACACATGTCAAAGATTATTAGATTTTATATTACCGACAAGAAAAGAAAAAACTAAATTACCAAAATACCCCCAAAAGACCTAATAGTCAGAGAAATCAATAAGGTGCCCTTTGGTCCCATCAAAAGTATTAATCATCAAAATCTCGTCGCCGATCCCTTCTTTGCCCTTCTCCTTGTCCAGATTTTCCCCTTCAACCCCCACATCCCCCTGCTTCCTTACCCGCCAATTTCCTCCTCTTTGAAACTGCCAAATCCCTTTCTCGATTCGCTTCCGTGTGTTCGCAGATTCCCCTTTATACGTGAGTTTCGATTTCCGATCTCCTTTTAATCCTTGTTGCTTGCTTCGCTGCGATTTTTTTTTTTGCCTCTTTTCTGTTGAATTTTGATAGAAATTATTCCGTTCATAAGATTCCTCGCAAAGTAATCTCTCTCTATTTTTTTTTATCAATTTGTGAAATTTTGAATTGGGTTTTTGGTGGGTGGAGGGTGTTTTCCTTTTCGCCCCCGAGAACGAGAACGAGAACTCGGTGGTAGTAAGACTGAGGCTTAAAATTTTGATTTTGTTAGAAACAATGAATGGGGTTTTTTGTGAAATCTACAGTTATTGCACATCGAACATGAAGATTATATGAAGCTTGGGTTTTCTTTTCTTTCCGTATTGGTTTAACTAATTGGATAGTGTGGCAAATCTAGAAGATTGTTTTATCTGTGTTTTCCTGCGATGGATGCTTCCAAGTTAGTTACTTTTGTGTGATACCTTGGGGATCTCTTAGGCTTATGGTTGTAGCTCCTTTTATTGTTTTAGTTTCATTATGGAACCTGCTCTTGCGTGAACTGAAGAACTATTTGTTAATTCTCACTTCTGGCAAATTCTTATGTTGTTACATTGTTTTTTCTCGTTGGCAGGTCTAGCGACAGTACGAGTTGGGTTAAGTATCTGGAGCTGATCCTGTCTGCGTTTTGCTTGGCTAATACTTTGTTACTCTGATGAAATGGCAAATCAGGAGCTGATGATGGCGGGGAACCACGATATCTCGTTTAGGCAGGAGCATTTCATTGAAGCTCGACAGAACAGTGAACTGTTTCCTACTCATGACTACAGTTTCGCCTTGGAACCGCTACACGGGACGAACCTGCAGATAGGAGTTCCCCGTGAGCAAAATGAGGGTTGGAGCCACAACCAGGAACGTACACTGGCTCTTCACAGCTCAATGAATCACAGTGAAGAACAATGTGTGGAAGGAAAAGATGAGGTTGATTCTTCAGAAAACCAAATTGAAAGCTATGACCATGCCTTTGACCTCTCGTTCCATGATAATGATGGCTCGGAAACTTCAGAGAATGATAAACTAGCCCTAGTAGTTGCTCAGGATCTCAACGATAACTTACAGTTGGGGGTGGGTCATTGCATGAATAGGGATCTCATACCTGGCCCGGACATAGGCCTTTCTCAGCAGCTAGAGTTGGCTCCTCCTATTGTTCAGTGCCGGTCTCTAGTTACAGCTCCTCAGCACAACTTGGTCGTTGGAATGGAATTTTCAGATGTTCTTGCTTGTAGGAGAGCATTGAGAGATGCAGCAATCGTCTCACGGTTTGAGATGCAGACGGTTAAATCTGACAAAACCCGCTTCACTGCAAAGTGCACCAGCGTGGATTGCCCTTGGAGGATTCACTGTGCCAAGCTTCCTGGTGTACCAACCTTTACAATAAGGACTATTCACGGGAGTCACACATGTGGTGGTATTTCACACCTTGGTCACCATCAAGCTTCGGTTCAATGGGTTGCTGAAGCTGTGGAAGAAAGGCTGAGAGAGAATCCTCATTGCAAACCTAAGGAGATACTGGAGGAAATCCATCAAGTCCATGGGATCACACTATCATACAAGCAAGCATGGAGGGGGAAAGAACGTATAATGGCTGCTGTTCGCGGGTCATTCGAAGAAGATTATCGCCTTCTTCCTCAATATTGTGCTGAAATCAAAAGAACAAACCCTGGGAGCATCGCTGTGGCTCTTGGAAGCCCTGTTGATGGGAGCTTTCAACAGCTATTCATCTCTTTCCGGGCGTCAATCTATGGTTTTCTTAACGCTTGTCAGCCTCTCATTGCATTGGACAAAATCGTATTGAAGAGCAAATATCTAGGGACACTCCTGCTTGCCTCCGGGTTTGATGGAGAAGGTGCAGTGTTTCCTTTGGCCTTCGCCATTATTGCTGAGGAAACTGATGGTAGCTGGCAATGGTTCCTCTCAGAGCTGCGTAAGCTGCTTGAAGTTAACACAGAAAACATGCCAAAGCTGACGATTTTATCTAATAGAGACCCACCCATTGTTGAAGGAGTAGATGCTAATTTCCCAACGGCGTTTCATCGCCTCTGTATCCATCATCTCACAGAATGCTTCCGTAGGGACTTCAACAACTCCATTCTTGTGAACCTTTTTTGGGAAGCAGCACAATGTCCCACCGAGCCCGAGTTCAATGCAAAAATCGCCGAGCTCTCCCAGACGTCTTCCGACGCTGCCGCGTGGGTTTTCAAGTACCCTCCCTCTTTATGGGCCACATACACCTTTGAAGGAGCACATCTTACTCCAAATGTTACCGAATCACTTAACGGTTGGATTCAAGAAGCCTCAGGCCTTCCTATAATCCAAATGATGGAGTGTATCCGTCGCCAACTGATGACTTTGTTCAACGAGCGCCGTGAAACAAGCATGCAGTGGTCTGGCATACTAGTTCCGTCTGCTCAGAGACAAGTCCTTGAGGCCGTGGAACACTCCCGTGCGTACCATGTTCACAAAGCAAACGACGCAGACTTCGAGGTCATGACCAGCGAAGCAAAATGGATAGTGAATGTTAGATGCCGTGAGTGTTCGTGCCGTGGGTGGGATCTATATGGTTTGCCTTGTAGCCACGCAGTTGCAGCGCTTCTCTCTTGCAGACAGGACGTTTATCGGTTCACGGAGAGTTACTTCACTGTGGCAAATTACAGGCGAACTTATGCGGAAACCATACATCCAGTTCCAGACAAAACCATGTGGCAAAAAGCAGAAGCTGATATTGAAAGTGGTGAGGATGGTGATGAGTTTGTGATGAAACCACCGAGGTTGTTAAGACAACAGCCACGGCCAAGGAAGAGGAGAAGTCAAGGTGAAGACCGTGGACGTCAAAAGCGGGTGGTTCGATGTAGCCGGTGTAATGAGGCTGGCCATTTCAGAACAACTTGCACAGCTCCTATATAAAAAGCCCTATGATATTGATCTCTCTCTCTCTCTCTTTCTTTAGACTTTTTGCTTCTTTTCTGATCTGAATTCTTCTTATTTTTCTGATTTAGGTTTAGAAGATTCTTTGCAAAGCCTTTTTTACTTAACTCATTTTTCCATTATGTTAGATCTTTAGATATACTAAACATTTAAACATCTTAGACTCAAATTATATATTTTTCTTATGCTAAAGAGCCTTGTGTTGAAGATTTTCTAAAACCTTGCAAGAGCACAATTTACATGGAGTTTGAGACTCTGGCTAAACAAAACAAAATAGTCAAATCACAAAAATGCAAACCAAGAAACATCCGCAGTAATAGGGAGCAAAAGCTATTATAGTACAGTATACACAGTACACGTGGAGAAAGCAGATACATTGTCTCGAAACATAAAACAAACTCAACAATGGACCCAGTCGTAGAGTTTTGTCAGTCTTAATCTCATGTGTCTTGATGATCCCAAAACCAAAATCCTTTTCATAAGCATAACAGATCAATGTGTGTTCCAGAGTTTAACAGCACGACGACTTTCACACACATTTTGGTAATCTCATCCATTGGTTTGCTCTTGGCCATTGCACTGCACTACCGTCTAAGGAAGCTACGTCACTCCAAGATCATTCCTCGTCTCAGATTGTCTCACAAACACAAAGGCCATGAGAAGCTCGAGAGATTCTCTCACTACGTCGGTAAAATCAATCTACATCTATCCACTTTGTGATCTCCATCATCATAGACTTTGATGCTTTATATATAAGGAAATGTTGTTTGTGTTTCTTTTTTTGTTCTCCTTTCTCTTTTTGCAGTTCGGCAGATGGGATTTAAGGACAGGAGAGAATGTCCACATCTCTGTAAGTTAGCCAATGAGTACATTAGGAAATCAGATTGCTGCGAGGAAGACATATACAACTTCTTCTCTGAAGAGCCTGATGCTGATTCACTCTTCATTAAGCTCGTCGAGGAGTTTGAGAGATGTATTCTCAGTTACTTTGCTTACCACTGGACCCATGCGGATCTCATGATCAGTCAGGTTTCTTCAAGAAAACATAAACAATAAAAACTTTTTATAATCCTTTCTTTGTTAGCATCATGAAAAACATTTCATGGATCTTGTTTTAGATACTCAGCGCCGATGTTGAGCCCAAGAGGAAGCTCAAGCACATTGTCATGGCGGCTACGAGGTGCGTCTAAACAGCAAATAGCAGTCCGGATTATGTTCTCTTTTAGTGATTTTTCCAAAACGATTGTTCCTTGGTTGGTATATAGGGAACAGAGATTTGAAAGAGTGACTAAAAATCTGAAAGTGGCAAGAGTGTTTAACACATTGGTAGAGGAAATGAAAGCAATGGGCATCGCATCCGTTGATGACTCAGAATGTACAGAAGTGATGGCTCCAGTTGCACACAAGGACCGAAGTCCGGTTTTACTCCTCATGGGTGGTGGTATGGGTGCAGGCAAGAGCACTGTTCTAAAAGACATTCTCAAAGAGTAAGTAAAACTTCAATAAGTTCACACTTATATATCTTTATCTGACATTGATCATTGTTTCTCACGCATATACCTGTACATGCTTGTGTGCTTTGGATCAGACCATTTTGGGCAGGAGCAGATGCTGTGGTAATCGAAGCCGATGCTTTCAAAGAATCTGATGTCATATACAGAGCTCTAAGCTCCAGAGGCCATGTTGATATGATCAAGACTGCTGAATTCGTAAGGTTCTTTGTTTCCTTATACAGAGCAATAAGAATCCGTCAAATCAAGTTTAAGTAACTCTTCCAGATATGGAAATGTACATTAAGAAAGAAGCATATTATTACCTTTGATATATTCAAATATCCAGAAAAGGTTGTGAAACTCTTCTTGAAAGCAGGTTCACCAATCATCAACAGATGCAGCATCATCGCTGCTCGTTACAGCACTCAACGAAGGGAGAGACGTGATAATGGATGGAACACTCTCTTGGGTACCGTTTGTGGTTCAGACCATAACCATGGCAAGGAATGTGCATCGCCATCGTTACAGAATGGGAGCTGGGTACAAGGTTGGCGAAAACGGAGATGTCATGGAGGACTATTGGGAACGCATAGGCGAAAGACAGCAGCTGCAAGAAGATGGAAGAGAGAGAAAGCCATACAGGATAGAGTTAGTTGGCGTTGTGTGCGATGCATATTTAGCAGTGATTCGAGGCATTAGGTGAGAGTGTGTGTGTGTGTTTCTCTTAACACAAGAAGGTTTTGGTTTTAACGATATATGTAAATGCAGGAGAGCAATAATGTGTAGAAGAGCGGTTAGGGTTAGATCTCAGCTGAGATCTCACAAGAGGTTTGCAGATGCGTTTCTTACCTATTGCAACTTAGTTGACAATGCCAGGCTTTACTGCACCAATGCTCTTGAAGGTTCTCCAAAGGTTAGACCTGAGTTTCTCTTTCTGCTCTTCTTCCTCTAAAACCTGAAATGTTTCAAATAATGAAAGTGAGAATCCATGGTGGTTTTGTGCAGCTGATAGGATGGAAAGAAAAGGAAAAGACATTGCTAGTGGATCCAGAGGAGATAGACTGTTTGAAAAATGTAGGGAAGAGGTTAAACGAGAATGCTGATTCCATCTACGAGCTATACAGTAGACCAAACCCTGCTTGTGAAGCTGGATCGATATGGAAAGACATTGTTCTTTCTCCTTCCAGGTTCAACATTCAACAGGAGCTCAAATACTCGATTCAGAAAGTGGAAAGATTCAAACAGCATCTCCAAGAAACACCAAGGTGATAGAGAAGGATGAAGATAAGAGAAGAGCACAAGTTTTGTTAGCTTTATTTCCTGGTATGTCACAAAATACTCCTTAAAAACAATCAAACAAAAGTTGATTCTCTCTAAAAACAAAGAAGGAATGTGCATTGCCTAACTTAGTAAGAGAATTGCTAAGAACATTGAATGTAAGAGATGCTATAAAGATACCAAATGCATCACACATGATTCGGATCCGAGGAAAACGTATGAATCTCACCTTTAAACTTCACCATGCTTGGTTGTTCTTAAGAGAGACCAGTTCCTTCAAAGCACAGTTGAAGAAGACACCACAAGATACTATCAGCATTCTCTCAAAAGCAATGAACACCAACCATGTGAATGCATAAGCTTGTGGTAGTTTTTGGAGAAGTAAAGAAGGAAGAAACCATCACATTTAGCTATTGATTAAAAGCTTAATTTCAAACAAACCAAAAATTACAAAGATAATAGTTTCGAGAAGAAACCAGAAAACAAAGAAAAAAAAGAAACGAAAAACTTTGGAAAGCAAGCTCCTTCAAGGATGATTCAATTATACAAGACTACCCTATAGAAGCTAACCACCATCATGTATTCAATCTTGCCCCCACAAACTATCCCTAACCCCATCTTCTTCACTTCTTCACCTTCCTCGTCGATGCCCTTTTCGCCGGAGACTTCACAGTCTTGGCCTTCACGCTCTTTGCCGGAGACTTCTTAGTCGCAGCCGCAGCTTTCTTAGCAGGAGCAGCCTTCTTCCCTGGAGATGTTCTGGTCGAGGTCCTGGATGCTTTAGCTGGTCTCTCCTTAGCCTTTGGCTTCGCAGCAACGGCTTTGGTCTTGGATACAGCAGCGACGGTCTTCGATTTAGGTTTAGCAGTGGCTTTGGCCTTTGGCTTTGCGGCAACAGCTTTAGCCTTGGATACAGCGGCTGCAGCGGGTTTCTTAGATCCTTTGGCTGCTGCTTTGGCTTTAGCGGGAGCCGCGGCTTTGCCCTTAGGTTTAGGTTTAGCTGCGGCAGCTTTGGCTGCTGGTTTCTTCTTGGCCGGAGCAGGCGCCGCCGGTTTCGGTGCTGCGGCGGATTTAGCAGACGGGATTTTGAAAGAGGCCTTGACCTTAACCAACTTCCCGGAAGCAACAAGCCTCTTCAGATTGACAAGCAAAAGCTTCCTGAAAGTAGGAGGAAGCGACTTCTGCTTCTCCTCGATGAACTTCTGAATCGCGTATTGACTAGATCCAGTTCTCTCCTTCAACGTCACGATTGCGTCCTTAATCATCTGCATCGATGCGATTAAAATGAATATCAGAATCAAAATCTCCTAAGAATTACGAATCTGAAATCGAAAATTTCGAAATTAAAGGTTTAGATCGAAATGAATCTCGAACCTCTTCGTATGTAGGGTGAGAGGAAGTGACTTTCTTCCTCGGAACCTTCGCCGCGGGCTTCTTCGCCTTAACTTCCTTGGTCTTCTTCGCTTTACCACCTTTCGCCGCCGGTTTCTTCTCGCTCACCGGTGTTGTCACCGCCGCTTCAGCATCTCCTGATTCGACCTGCGTTGGGACGTTTTCTTCCTCTGTCGACATCTCTCACAAACTGATCTCTCTAAGAAGAATTGAGAATTCAAAGCGATGGATCGAAAAGAAAACTGTAAGAATGTAATGCGTCGAGAGAAAATTCTGATGAGGACGACGAGAACTGCGGAAATGTTTATATAGTCAGATGTGTATGAGACAGAGTTTTCAATCTTTGCTCTGATTGGTTAATACAACGAGTACTCGGATCGGTGTAGCCTCTCAGGTTTGAATTTCAACCGTTAGATCTCACTCTATCGACGGCGTTTAAATAAGGATTGCGAATGTAAGGATGAGGAGGTTAATGGATGTGGATAGGTGCTTTTGGGTATGTTTGGTGTGCTTTTAGCCTCGACTATTCTGATCATAACTTTACACATACTTTATGAAATTTAATTTTGTTTTCTTCACTGTGTAGATAATTCTGTAAGGTTTCGTTTGAATATCTAAGCGTTCAAAACGGGTTATCATAGGATGAGAAAATCGGTTATGAAGCAAGGTTGGTCAAAACTATGGTTTGTTTTGATAGTATAAAGGTATATTTGGTTTTCTGGAGAATGTTTGAGGGAAGTTTCTGAATGTTTATATTCATTGGAAACTAGACTAATCAAGGAGTGTAACGAACCAAGAAACGTTAAAATCGGATAATGTTTGGATAGAAAAACATGCGACTGAATCCAACCAAAGATGACCATCTTCTAGTATATGGTGCCACCCAACTTGTTGCATGTGTGATGTGTCTATCTTTAAAAGAGTCTTAGCTTAGATAACCAAAGATTCATGCAATGGCTTCATTTTCATATTTCAAATTCACTGCATCGTGTAATGATTCACTAGATTAAACTTGTTCTAAAATGTTGATTTGTAAGTCTTAGTGAGTCATATGCGTTCTTTCATAATAATGATGATGTATGCAACTATATGCATCTAGCTTCTAAAAGCACACATGTACTTTTTATTATCAATTGCATATGATATTCATTAGCAAACATAAAACCCTTCTTATGAATTACGAAACTCATGTAATATATAGTTATGTATATTTATCTAATTCATATAGTATGGTTTTATAATTAGAATATTGATATACGTTGGAAATATTTCTGCGTTTTTAATGATTTTTAACCGTGAATAATTGTGTAATACTGAAGACAAGAATATAGATAACGTTTTCATATAACATAAGATGTAAATAAATTTGAATTATTTTATATAAAAAGTTACTATTTAAGATTTTTCTTGCTGTAATGATAATTGTTATACATAGAAGCAGAACAGCTAATATTTTGATAAAGTTTTAACTTTTCTTAGCATACATACATATATTCGAAATTGAACCCACACCAAAATCAAAATAAACTGGATACAACTCACATATATGCATCAAGCTAATCCAATTTGAAATCTTACCCAACTCAAATTGGAAGCGAATTAATTTAAACTAAAACTAAATTACATTCAAAACAGAGAAGAAATGGTCTATGAAGTTATAATTGTATCTGACCATAGTTGAACGATTCCCGATTTATATATATTTTATAAACTCGAGTACTCTTACGAAATAAATTCAACCAATATATACAAAGACTAAGCCGCTAAGTAAGATAGGAACCTTTAATTTCCCTTTGAACATAAATATCGATCGTGAGAGTTAACGTCGTATAGACATTCCACCAATCACTCATTCCAATATTAATTGCGTTCTAATGGTTTGCTTTGTCAGTTACATTTTACGTTTACCAATGGAAGCTAATCTTGGTTTCAAGATATAATCAAAAGTTTCTAAGATTATAACCACATATCTAGAGTCTAAACTAGTATAACCATTAGCAAAAATGCAATTTAACGTTACGGATATAGTAATGAGCTAGTGAATGGTTGATATGTTTTCTATCTATCGATCTACCAGAGATGCTAATGAAAAATTTGGTTTCTAGTCATTATATAACTATCACTTTTCGATCTTATCATCTGCACATATGTTAAGAATCATAAAATAAACTATAACTTATCTGTAGTTTTGATGATTTGGTATATACTTGTCACCGTCCCCCTTATAGATTTCCACACATGTCATCTATTCATAGTGTACAAACCACCGAATCTTTCAAAATTAAATACATGCCAAAACCTTATAAAAAAATTATGTGAGTTATTAACTAAAAAAAAACAATTTACAAGATTTTACGTAATAAAAAGTCAACACTAAAACATTTTGTAGTTTATCACCAAACTATGTCTACTGTTTAGGGGTAACTTTCATTTCCCTAGGATAGACGAACTTAAACGTGACACACGGAGACATAGTCAGGCAAGAACTCCATAGCACTTGAACTTCCAGAAGATTCCACACTTCTAATGGACAATCACACGAAGCTTTTGGCACCCATGCACATACTCTTGTATAATTTGATCATAAATTCAGAATAGTATATGATGTTCATTACTCTCATTAGCAAACATAAAATATAAAATTCTGGTAAAAACATCAATCTATGTCTAAAATTCGAACTAGTGTTATCGGTTTATTATTTTCCCACGTCGTAAATGAATTTTTTATGCCGCAAATAGTTACGTAACGTTTAGACAAAAAAAATTATGTATGGGTAATATTTGCATATTATACAGAAGGATCAAAATAGTTAAATTTAAATTTTGTTAATTAAGAATTCGTTCCTATATATTCTCTTTCTATAAAATAAACAATTTACCAATATTTGATAGACCAAAATCAAACATATATTTTTATAAAAAATCAAATATATTGCATTCAGCTCAAATTTGCATCATTCTTTCCTCCATTTGAAATCTTACACAATTCAAATAATAAAAACGAATAAATTAACAAGATGTTTATTATATCTCAAATGAGTTTGCTTGATTATATTTATATGAGCAGAATATAAATACTCTAAAGATCCCAATGCATATCATCCTCTGTAAAGACATATGATATGCAACAGAGGAAGAGCAATGGCATATGACATATGATATGCTAGGTATAGTAACAAATATTCATATAATTTTAGCATTTGCGTTAACTCAAAAATATGGGACTTTCTGTATTTTTCTAACTAACTGATGGTTGATATATTTGATCGTATGAGTTGGGTTTGTTGAATAATGTAGTATCTCATATTTAAATTATTATCATGTTCTCGGATCATATTAGTTTAAATCTTTGTAAACTTCACATTTTCTTATTCTGATTGGCACTAGGTTAAGTAGTTGCTTCTTTTCAACACTTTTGTTTCAATTTAATTAAACAACAGTTTTCTTTTGTAGCAGAAGCAATACATGTTGTCAAAATTGAGGGAGAGTAACTTGGTTGGATGCTCTGTCCACCGTTAGTAAACAATAGTTGATAACTTCCTCACAACTATGAATTAATCTAAGATGAGAAATGATGAACAAACCTAAGATGGGTATCATTATTATATTTTTCTTAATAATTAGTAAGCTCCGTGAATGAGCAAAGTGGAAGAAGGTGCCTTTCAGTTTTGAAAAAAGTGTATTTTATGAATATAATTAAAAAAATGCAAAGCAGTTTATTTATAGTGGAATATGTATACAGTAAAGAAACTACTATATGTCAATCACACAATGACAACATAAAATAGTTAGTTTATAAACGAATATTTAGATTTTGTTTACTTATTTGACAACAAGTTTTAACAGTGTCTTTAGCTTCGTTAATGGTTTTGAATTTGTTGATCATACATAAATGTCTTAACGATAAGAAGTAAAGAACTTCAAAAGCTCAAAATATGGTAAAGTCAATGTTGCATAAAGTGTCAAATTAACAATTTTTAACGACAACAAAGAATTCTGATTATTCACTGAAGCAACAGAAAATTACTAACCATATATTTAGCTTGGAGATTAAAATTAAAATAGTTTATTTTTAGTAAGGATTATTCAAATGAGGATTTGTCTCTACATTTTATCGAAGTTGAAAAAAATTTTATTAATACTTACATTATTTCAGTGCCTTCATAATAATATCAGAATGTCAATATTGGACTCCCGAAAAACAATTTTCAAATAATAGATAGACATATTAGAATTTTGTTATTATTATAATGAAAATAATCACAGTTTTTATAAAAGTAATTTCCTTCTTTTTTATCAAAATAACATAAATTCATATACATAAGACTAATCCTCTTGCGTAACACGATCTAATCTCTAGTACATATAATTAGAAAAATCCTTTTCCCATCCAAACTATCGACATCATTAATATTTTTTTTAATAGGCTTCTATTTATTTTACTCAAGTAAATTTCTAGAGTTTTTACATAATATGAATTTAGAAATTAAAAAAAAAACTCTCTACAAAAAAAAAATATAAATTCTCTAAAACATTAATAAGTCATAAAATTAATTGTAATAAAAATGCAACAGAATATAGAAAGTAAAAACAGAGTTGGAAAATCTACAAACAAAACAAAAATAGATAAAAAGGGTTAAAAAAACTCCCTAAAATCAATGAAAAAGAATAGAAGACATCAAAGCCTATCAATAATATTACAGATTAAAAAAAACAAAATGCAAAAACTCTAACGAAAAAAAATCTACACATGAATTATTTTAATCTATAGTGAAGAGTGATTATAAATTGGGCTTTCACTTGATTTTAGTTTAAAAGTAAAAAACAAATACTTATTTTATAAACCATAAAACTGTAAATTCTTTACGAAATAAAATAAAATCAGAATATTATTTCGAAATAAGAAATAAAAAAAAAATAGGTGGGATCAATGGTGAATTCACTTTGTAGATTTCACAGGAAATCAGCGACATACAAAAGAAAAACCATTTAGACAAAAATTTCCAATAAAATACATAAATACTTACGGCAACGGGCAACATATAAGTATAATATAAGTTTTTTAAACAATATACATTTAAAAATAGTAAAAAAAAATTTAATTTCTTTAGAAAAAATAATTAAATAAATAAAAAGAAAATAATAAATATTTAAAATTATAAAGTAAACAATTAGATTAA